AAGAAACACAGAAACCACACATATTTAAGTAGGACTTCCTCTTAAGACCAATCACAAGAGTGGCTTATCTATTTCACCTATGGCATCATCTTACTGAGAAATTACCTGCCAGAACCATCTCAGTCCCTTAATGCGCTCAGTCTTTTAAGACTAAATGTAGCAGCAGAACACCTTAGTCTAATTACGAAGTAATGATCTTTTTAAAATTATCAAGGGGATCATATAAGAAGGCAGAAACTATACTGGAAATACTTTACCACACAGACAATACAGGAGTATAGAGGATCCAATCATGAACTCGTGCATATATGCACCAGATCTGACATAGAGTTTTGGACAAAAGGATCTGTTTCAATGGAGAATACCATGAACCTAATTACTCATGTAGATTTGTCTCCTGAAGAGCGCACAAGATACTATTTAAAGAACTGTGTCAATAATACACAAAACTATTATCACCAGACTGATAAAACTACAGTCAGAACATCTTATCAGTTTTTAAAATAATAAGTATCCAAATGATTTCAAAGATATGAAGTTTTTTAAATGGAAGATAATGTTCAAGTTATTATTTCACTGCACTCTAATGANATGGAGAATACCATGAACCTAATTACTCATGTAGATGTGTCTCCTGAAGAGCGCACAAGATACTATTTAATGAACTGTGTCAATAATACACAAAACTATTATCACCAGACTGATAAAACTACAGTCAGAACATCTTATCAGTTTTTAAAATAATAAGTATCCAAATGATTTCAAAGATATGAAGTTTTTTAAATGGAAGATAATGTTCAAGTTATTATTTCACTGCACTCTAATGATTCAAAATTAATGGATAATGAACGGCACATGTATTGTTTTTGTATTATTACCTGGTGGGGTGGGACTGAATCCACTTCATACTGCAGCCATTTCTGGCCTATTGTAACAGCCCCAGATGATAGGTGAGGATGATTGTGGAGCAACTGGTGGAATGAAGATTGGCATGAGAAACCGAAGTACTCGGAGAAAATCTGCTCCAGCGCCACTTTGTCCAACACAAATCCCACTTGACCAGACCCAGGATCGAACCCAGGCCGCCATGGTGGGAGGCCAGTGACTAACTGCTTGAGCTGTGATGCAGCCAATTGCACATTTAACGAGGACTATAAAATGTAAGTTTCTGTAAGACCTTCAAAACCATTTTATAGTATGAGGAAAACTGAAGCAGTGGTCTGGAGCACTGTCAATGAATACGGTAATAAATTATCTCTAAAGGAAACAAAGAAAGAAAACCATTATTCGTAGTTCAGAATCTCCACCTACTGGATTTAGTATGCTCCACACCAGGCAATCAAGGATTTTGTTGAGGCTCCTTCGGGTCAGAAACATAACATTTAACTTAGTACTACAACAAGTTCTAGGTTTCACACTGTATTTCCAACCTTACCGCCATCTGTGAGCCGAATGTCTAGAAAATGTGGGAACCTCAACATCTCACAAACCTATGGGCCTCCACAGCCTGTTATAGGGATACTTTTACTTTAATTTTACACTATATTTCCAACCCTTACATATTAAGCATGTAAAGATGTGTATCAGGGCCAGCTTGTACAGTGCCCTGGCTTCTGATATCCTGACATTAGAACACTGTTTTGCCCAATATCACCATTGTTTGAGGACCTATCATAAGACCACAATTTACTGCACTAATTTACCCTGTATTTCCTAAAAAAAATGTCATGCTTGTACATAACATTATCAATGAAAACACTTCATAACATAAAAATATGCCCCTCATGTTACATTGCTATGAAAAGTGCATTCTTAAAGATGTACAAACAGTTCAGAATGTTCACAAACTTAATGTCTGCATTTTTAAATTTGAACTTCAAAAAACACCTCTGGTATGTAGACACTCACACAAGGAATAATTCCACTCTGGCTATTTGAAATAAAAAAAAAAAATGTAATTTTCAAGTCACATTTTTCCACAGACTTACATTTTAACCTATGCTGGGCAACTTGCATCATCACCACACTGAAAATTCAAATTTTGGCCTTTGAATTATCAATGATTTACACATTTTAATTAAATATAATACTGGGAATTAACAATAAAATCTGATCCCAAAAGGGTAATTTTGAACCATAAAGATTACTTCATTTAAACAGTAAAATTGTTTTTTTTTCATTGCTAGCAGGGTGGGATTAAGTCCCTTGTACTGCTGTCACTTCTGGCCTATTGTACCAGCCCCAAATGATAGGTGAGGGTGATTGTGGAGCAATTGGTGGAATGAAGATTGGCAGGGGAAATCGAAGAACTTGGAGAAAACCTGCCACAGCTCCACTTTGTTCACCACAAATTCCACTTCACCAGAGCCAGGATCTAACCTGGGCCGCCACGGTGGGAAGCTAACGACTAACTGCTTGAGCTATGGCATGGCCAAAATTAATTAAGTATATCTTCTTTAAAATTTAAAACTTTGAGAAAATTTGGACTTGCATGAAACCCAGTGACTGAAGCATTTTGATATAAATGTTTGATACCATAAGTCATCAGCATATAAAATTTCTGATGAACACAGTCCATCCAATGGAAGTAACATGAAAACTAAATAATTTCTGTTATTTGATGAGACTACACGTTTACTGGCTTCATGGATGAATGTGGAAATTCAAAGTTTCATTCAAAGTTCAAATCACATTATGCTGAATATTTTGAATTCTATTTGCACATAACTAATTACTGATGTTAATGTGTTTATGCATTAAAATGAATCTTTAAAACCCACCTCTCACTTCCACCAGAGACAGACTATGAGATGTAAATTTCATATTAATGATGTAAAATACACATTTCTCTTTTCCTTCATCATAAATTAATACATTCAAATAATTTTATTTCATGTACGATTTAAACAATACCTTGTTCAAATACGATAATTCTTCTTCAAGTTTTGAACTGAAAAACACAAAGCAGATCACAATTATTTTCATCAGTAACTGTAAGCGTTCACGATGTAAGGAGCTTATCTGAGAGCCTGCAATAAATCATTCAGTTGCTCAGGCCTAAGTTTCACATGCTGCTCATGTCAGAATGGTTTGTACATATTCAGATTTGGAGCATTATTCAACAAACCAGTAGCCTTTACACATTACAATTTTTCTTCAGTATCACTTCAACAAATCATTTAATGGTTAACATGAAACAGGCTTATGCATTACGTGCCCTACCACTTCTAACTCCCAAGCCTCATGCTGCTACTGCTACTGTATCTAACCCGTGTAATACAGTCATGACTCATTCCTGTGTTGAAATATCACATGTTAGTTGCACACTGGAGTAATGAGTATTCATGTACAACATCCAGGTACAAAGTGGTTGTGTAAGAAAGCATGATCAAGATCTTGAAACATATTTTATATTACAACTTCTTTATTAAAACCGTCACAACACAACTATATTAAGGTCAGTGCCTAGTTTGGCTCTGCTACATGTTTCGGCTATTAAAAGCCATCATCAGGCAAATACATGGCTAACATATATACACCACTGAACTGCAGTACTAATAAAATTGGATACAATAATATTAATTATATTAAAATACTTGGCATAAAAGAATAAATTGGACTATATAAAACGAAAGTTATAGTATAAAACAAGATTAAAATTCTTCAAGTGTTGCTTTACATCATCGAGTCATTTGTTGGTTTATGCGATTTTGTTGTGTTCCCACGGACAAATTGGACTATTCTATATTTTGTGTATATATAATAAACTGTTTTGGAGGCTCATGATGTAGAGGTAGTAATATTAATGTTAATTATTTAGTTGGTGCCCCATTTTACAAAGTACTGTCCGTTCTGAAGGGAATGTAAATGTAGTTGTGTTGTGACACTTTTTAATAAAGAAATTGTATATTACGAGGGTTGGAACTTTAATAGTGGCAACACTGCTGTAGAGACACCATGCAACGGAACCAAATAATGTTGTTTATACCACACATTAGTTACATACCTACCTTACCTCAGACAAATGGACTCTCCCTTCCTACATCATGTGCATGCGCAGTGATGAGTAGAATAGAGCCTCGTGTTAGCTGGCGGTCTCATGTAGCATTGTCACGATGTTTTCGAAACAGGAACAACAGAGTTGGATAAAGACTGAATGTGCCAGAGGCCATACAACACAACAGTGTCATCAAAGTCTTCAAGAGGCTTGCGGGGAATCTGCATTGCCTTACAGATCAGTGGCAAGGTGGGTAAAAGCCTTCAACGAGGAACACCAAAATTTGGCAAACATGTGTCGGCCAGGTCGACCTATTGTCAGTGAAGACACATTACTAGAGAGTGATCAATGCCATACAATTCATGAGCTGGCCCAAGAGACAGGATTAGCGCATATGACTGTGCTTCATATTCTGAAGGAATGCCTGAGCATGAGAAAAATTGCATCACGATGGGTTACGCATGATTTGACGGAAATGCAGAAATGGCTATGGTACGACGCCGCTCGTAACCACTTAGAATGCTATGAGTGCGAAGGAGAGGCTTTCTTACGCCATATCATTATGCTGGATGAGACATGGGCCAAATCGTATGAGCCACAAATTAAATGCCAATCAAATGAATGGCATCATTACAGGTCACAACAAAATCAAAATTTCATCAGAACCCCAGCAATGTGAAAGTTATAGTGATTCTCATGTAGGACTGTGATGGTGTTATCCTAATGCATACAGTTCTCCAACAACAGACCATCAATGCGCAGTATTACTGTTCATTTTTGGAACACAACCTGCGACCAGCTTTGAGAGAGAAGTGGTGACACTTTCTGCAGAACCCACCCATCATTTTGCAGGACTATGCTTGGCTGCATGCAGCGCAAGCTGTGGCTGATTTGTTCGATCGATGGGGCTGGGAAGTGCTGTACCATCCACCATACTCCCCGGACTTAAGCCTTTGTGACTATGACTTAATTCCTAAGATGAAGGAACCACTTTGTGGCANATCATAAATAAAAAGGGGCACAGTCATTATTTGACAACAGAAGAGTTAATCAAAATTCTGAGTCCTAGCTGCAAAAAAAATTTGAAGCTGGTATTAGGCCTGAACATTCTTCTCAAAAATCCTTCAAGTGTCTTGCATGGAAGAAGACCAGGATTTCAAAATTGTTAGCACAAAGGGAACTTCAATCAATGAATGTAAACTTTTCATGGAGATACTAGGACTTTAACAGCAGAGAACATTTTCACATCTGCTGTAATCTGGATAAGTTTACTTGCCTACTAGTTTGGTCACCATGCCACAAGTCCAAATGTGTGCAAACTGATCTGACACAAGTAGTGTGCAGAGCTACTACCTAAATGACCAAACAACTTGGAACAAGCTCTCAAATAATTTCCCTGTACTAACAATACGATCTACAAAATGTTCCAGTCCCTTTCTTAGCTCTTTTTAACTGTAATTTCTTGACTTTCTTCACAGTTGGCCATTAGTTTCGCAAGAAGGGCAGGAGCTGGCTGTTCACCAAACATGTGAAACAATGGTTTGGACTCCACATACCTGTAATAAAATATCATTAATATAACATGTAAAAATGTGATTTATTTTCCCTACACATTAAATGTGGTGATATTAACATAATTTTTCAATATATTCTTACAATTTCCTTTTTTTCAGAATTCTATCATTTCCTTTACAAGTAATATGTGAATGTGACAACATAAACATCCTTGTGACCAATTCACAACATTAGTTCGAGCATAAGTTTTTGTGAACCTCTGGTACTGGTTCATATAATATGGTATCTTAATTTTAAAGTCTGTATTTCTTGATATACTCCATTTAGAAGCATTGGTTCTGATATCACAACCCTAATGAAGCACAGAAATTTGTTATTCACATAAAAACTCTCAATACATGAGTCCTATCAAATAAATTCAATTCAATTAAAAAAAAAAATTTGCTGATGGTGAATCAAATTTTCTGTAACGGCAGCCACTGTTCATTCAGTGGAGCTGTCCACAGCAGGTATAACCCCTACCTTCAAATCTTTAATCATGTAGAGCATGTATTTCTGTAGACACTGTTCTTCAGAAATCCCCATAAGGAATGATCACAGAGATTAAAATCAGAAGTAATACTGATTAGAGATGACCCAATGACAAAAATGTTTGCTCTGAAAACCAGATTCACATTCTCATACATCTTGTAAAAATGTCTTCAAAAGACAGGAAATAAGAATACCACACAAGGCAAGAAAATTGAATAATGTGAATAATGAAGAAAGCAGTCTTCTGGGATTTGGCGCCGTGTATATGTGGTGTTAACCGACGTTTCGGAGGAACGTATCGCCCCCATCTTCAGGGTTGAAGAAAAAGTATAGNTGATGTTTCTGTGGCACAAGTAGCAACGGTGGTGAGCCAGTATTAGAGCACATGACTATGTGATCCATCAGTCTGTTGTCAGTTTAGACTGTTCAGCGCTTGTGGTAACACTTTTACTGGCACATTGTTCGTTAATTAAAAATATGAGTTACAACAGAAACTCAACAACACATCTTGCATGGAACTGGAAAGAACTGCCATTAATATTGTCATAAAATTTATGGGTAATAAAGATATTACAGTGAATCAATGATCTCACTGTCCAACAAGAATTGAAACAAATGTGAAAGAAAGTGAATGAAACGGTAATAAATGGTTCTCAATTCCCTGTTTGAAAGATAGCAAAAACTGAATACGAATACAGAAACTATGACAGTTCAACAGAAATGTGAACTTGAAGTGGGTCTATGTCAAAATTATAGGCCAACAGAAAAGTCTCAGCAGTATCCCTAGCCTGGTTGGAAGTGGATCAGGCCAGAGATAACATACATCATGATGACAACTTTACATACAACCTACAAATTTGCATTCTCTGCAGAACATATTGGCCCCCTAAACTACAATGAAGCAAATGCCTGATAACATCATTCATTTTTAAAAGAATTTCCATAAATTTCTACACAAAACCGGAACATCAAGACTGTTGAATGGCATAAATAGAATTTAGTATTAATTTATTTTACAACATGATGTCACCTCAATTATGAGACTAGATTTTTAATAGCTTTTATGAGTTCTTGTGTATAATACTGTTAAGTTAACAATAAGAGAGTTTTTCCTAATGTACTTATAGAATGGATACCCATGAAGATGTCATTTAACTGCTGAAACATGTCAGACCACCAACCAAATCAAAAAAATAATACCTTGTATTGTAATCTTCCTTGTGATAAATTCTTAGATACAATTAACTCCACAATGCTGATCCCTTCTGGACAAGCCACCAGTTGCTCAGCTACTCAAGAATCTCCTAGCATTTTATGGAACACAAAGGTTCATCACTATGTTAGCAGGAGCCCTTCACTGGTCTGCACACTGAGCCATATTAATCAAGCAGATACAACCCTACAGTTTTTAAATATAATATAACAAATTTGTTCCTCCAAACCAAACAGGCATTTTTTTCTCCATGTTTTGGCATGTTCGTGAATTGCATTCATGAAAAAGAACTAGAGAAGTGCACCATGATAGTGATATTTCTGATACAGAACATTTAGTAAACTGGGTTTTGGAAGGACGGTGGGGTAGGGAAAACAGCATTCAGACATCTGTACTCACCTGACCTGGCCCTGTGTCGATTTTTCTTCTTAAAAAATGTACAAATTTCCTCAAAAAGATGTAATTTTGATCACTTGAAGACATTTAGGGCAATGTGATGACAGTAGTGAAGGGACTTTCTGCAATGTTCCTAGTATGGCACACTAGGGAATATGTGAATAAAGTGTGAAAGTGAACACACTTACTATCGTTACTGACAGTCCAGTTATTTAATTGTCAGATCTTGTAAACTTATCTCTCCTTACCTCCTTCCGAGTTCGTGTTAAGTTTCCACATACCTTCCTTACTTTCTTGAGAAAGGTGGGTTAAAAACTGTCCCACACTGCCTTGAGAAAATTCTGTTAACAAAATAATAGAACACAGAAATTGCATAAAGAGTCTAACTTGCCTTTCAAAGCATACACAACTTTTTAAATGGTTTGACATGTGATCCTCCGCTTCAAATCCCCACTCACGTACAGGTGTGAAAGCTGTGCTGAAAAACCACCGCTGAAACGTAAGACGTTATTCAGAAACACTACTGAAAAAATGTTCAAATATAAATTGTTAAGAGGAAAGGTAGATTTAATAAATTACAGTATTACATGTTATATTTATATACATATTGACTCCCATATATCCTTCAGAACAAAACTCTATAAACTTAGGTGTTCATTATAAGGAAGAAATATTTTGTAATCTTTGGAAACCCACTGCTAGCATAAGCTTTCACCTGATCAATATTTTCTCCTATATGTGTCAATGAAATATCTTGTACTACTGTTGGTTTATGAAAAGATCTGACCAACTATATCACTATTTTTTCTGCATTGTGAGTACCTGTTCCCATGTGATATTAACATAGTCTGCTGTAAGTCCACAGACAATGCAGCTACTGTCTCTGTAGATGTGTGCTGTCACATTCTTAAATATCAGTTCTGCATGTTCAATTATAAACTTCAGTTTTTTATTAGCCTACTTTCCAGATTGAGAAAGGGGTCTATAATTCCTCTGTTCAGTATGTTTTCCCTTTTCGGCCACCCATAGCTCAAGCGGTTAGTCGCTGGCTTCCCATCACGGCTGCCCAGGTTCGATCCCGGGTCTGGTTAAGTGGGATTTTTGGTGGACAAAGTGGCACTGGGGCAGGTTTTATCCAAGTACTTCGGTTTCCCCTGCCAACCTTCATTCCACCAATTGCTCCACAATCACTCTCACCTATCATCTGGGGCTGGTACAATAGGCCAGAAGTGGCCGCAGTACAAGGGACTTAGTCCCACCCCACTACCAATAAAAAAAACATGTGTTCCCTTTAATGGGACCATGAGACAATTATAAGTGTAGGAATTCAGAAAGAGTGATAAAAACTGACATTAACCATACTGTGCAGAATGATGAAGTCATAAGAACAGATTCTGTCACTTATATGAGATATTTATTTGTTGTATAAATTCTATTTATATTTATTGAAATAAGAAAATCTTAACGAGTCACACTGAACGGAACTATTTAACTTTTTTCATAATATTAGTGTGACACGCCAGAATGAAACAAATAAAATTAAATAGGCTAAATTACAATGCCCAGGGCTGAGATCCAGATTTTCAGACCTAAGCCTGCATTAGTTAAGCATGTGGCAAAGAATGGGCAGGAATGCTACACACTGCAATGAAATGACTGGCAGGCTTTCCTCAATTATATTAAACTTCAACTATGCCCCTTAACAAACGAAAATGTACACCCCTTTACATTCTTTATTTTGAGTTATTTTACATTATTATTTTATTGAGTGTCTATTTACATTTTTAAACATAAAATTTTTAATAGTGGGAACAATTCTGGTTACCTTATAAGCAATTGTCCATGTAACTCGGGATCCAATATGCCTTTTCTTCCACTGCTGGACCACAAGCCCCCTCTCCTCCAGCAAAGAACAACATACCTCACGCAGACGACGACAAGTCAGAGCCAAGTTACACAAGCTAAAACAAGGTAAAACATATGTAAATAACACATAATTTGACCAAGTTTCATTCAGAGGGGGATCTTCACGGGTCATGCACAGAGTTCACTCCCTTCTGAACCATATTTCACAGTATTTCTATCTTTGCTAATAATGTGCATGAAGCTAGAGTTTCTTGAAATAACTTCATTCAGCTCCTAGAGTCAAACATGCATGTTGGTTATCTGTGCCTTTAGGTGTCAACAATAAACTCAGAGAACATACGATGGGGTACCCAAAAGAAACCGAACTAATTTTTGTTGTGGGCAGAGCTTTTGTAGTACCGCGTTTTGCTGCTATGAGTGCATAGAGCTAACATTCCTGAGTCGATAAGCCGACTACCGTTGCTTCAGAAGGTAAGGACTAGTTTTGGCAGAGTTTATAGTGACAACCGTTTTGTGTGATCGTCGTTTTTGCAATGGCTGATTTTTGTGAACAGCGTGCGGCGGTGAAATTCTGCTTTTTGCTCGGGAAAAGTGGAACATAAACTCTTGAAATGTTAAAAACGGCGTACAAGGACGATGCTATGGGGAAAACTCAAGTGTTTGAGTGGTTTTCCCGTTTCAAAAATGGTGAAATGTCAATTGATGACAAACCTCGTTCTGGTCGTCCTTCCACGGCCCGAACACATGAAAATGTTGAAAAAATTCGTGAAATCATCAAGGAAGATCGACGACGGACCATTGAAGAAATTGTGGAGCTGTCAGGAGTGACTTGGAGCTCAGTTCAGCGAATTTTGACAGAAGATTTGGGAATGAAAAGGGTGGCTGCGAAATTCGTGCCACGACTGCTGACTGCTGAACAAAAACAAGGTCGCGTGGAAGCATGCTGTGCTTTGAAAGAAGAGTCCCAAAATGATCAAAACTTTTTTTTGTTTCCTCGAATGAAAAGAGACATGAAAGGAAAGCGTTTTGCTGATGTTGCTGATGTGAAGGAAAAAACGATGGAGGCGCTGTCAAGCATCTCAAAAGATGAATTTAGACAATGTTTTGAAAAATGGAATAAAAGACTAGACAAGTGTATTAGTGTAAGTGGAGAGTACTTTGAAGGGGATTGAAGGTTTGTGCTTAAAATTTAAGTGGAGAGTACTTTGAAGGGGATTGAAGGTTTGTGCTTAAAATTTGAAAAAATAAGTTTAAAAAAAATAAGTTCGGTTTCTTTTGGGTATCCCCTCGTATATGTCAGACTTGACAAACTACCTATCTGCTCATTTGTGACAAATGAAAATTCAAAACCAACAAGTTCTAATATTATTTGAATTATTCATTTATATTCTCTCCTACTCACCTTTCTACTTTCTCCTCATGTCATAGAGTAATCTGAACAGTAATTATACCTTATCTATGTACTATGTAAGAGACAGCATTTTGTGTCTTGTATGTTATGTGATAAGTAAGCTGGTTCAAAGCAATTACAATGGCTTGGGTAGATGTCATTTCCCTCATGGTGAAATTTCTTGGAAGTAGAATTTTTGCCTAGCTGGTGAACTGGGCCAACCTTTGATCTCTCCATACATACTACAGCCATTCTGATATAGCCAAATTTTGAATATACATACCTGAAGGAGTCCAGAAAACGGCATACATGCCTGAGTACTTCAAATGGAAGCTGACATAATACCACATGTTGAGAAGATATCACAGACCAGTCTTGAGTATTATCTGAATTTTGTAACTGTAAACCTGAAAAATTGTTGGACTTCTTATGAGATACTGATTGAACAACACTTTTAGTGACTTTGGAACAGCGGTTCAACACTGGAATGTCATAAGGAACAAATGGTTTCACTCCAAAACTCTCAAGAGTTTCATTATGAATCACGGTAGCTCCCTTCACAGTCGGGTAAAATCGACGCAAACTGTACATACAACCATAATGTGCCAATGGACAACGGTGTTCTAACCAGCCATTCAAACCACCATGAATGTCATTATGAACATTCTTGTAATGCCAACAATATTCATCTCGACGAAATTCTTGACCACAAAGGAAGGTGTACATATCATTTGGTTTTGACTGATATCGTGTGATGGTCTCTAAAGTGAGATCCAAACCTAAGGAAACAACTGCTGGAGGGTTGTATGGGGGAGGGGAAGTGATGGGCCTAACATTATCTGTCATGGAAGAAGAAATTACTTCACTCACTTGAGTATTATTCACAAAATGTACTCTAAAATGTCCATTCTGTTCACATGTTGATTCAATAGGATTTAAATTACATGACAAAGTCCCCCTGACACCTTGAGTCAGTTCAAAGTATTGTACAGAACCGGATGATCTCGGAGCAAGACCAAGTGGTGGTGACTCACTCCGACCATTATTCATAATCAGTTTATTGGTTTCAGGACACAGATCATGAGAATTTTCAACCATATTTTGGTCAGTCTGGTTCTTCAAATTTCCACTGATAAGTGGTGGAGGCAATCTGTTATGATATTCCACGCCATAAACTGAGTTCTCTCGAGTATCAGAGTTGTCAGGATATGTAAATTCTGGTGTACCATTATATTCTGAAGAATGTGACTTTGCGGTAACCTGAGCAAGAGTATCCATATTTGAACCACTGGCACTGCCCCTTGTTACTTTATACAGTTCTCCACAAACACTGCTTTGAAGCCCTGAAAACAAGAAAACGCAGCACTGTATATAACTTTTCATCAAGAGAGAGTAAAAGCAGAAGACTACTTTTCTTTGTGTCTCCAAGCCCTATTACCAAATTTTATGAAGGTTTCATGAAGTACAAGACATACTTTCATTCCTGGAAAATGCTGCCCAAAATTTGCATGAACCTTATAGCAGGTTTCCTGAATATCCAGTGTTTCTTATACTCAAATCCACATCACAGTCTTAAAGGTAGGGTAAACGATGCCCATCAATGCCAGGAACTTTAATATTATTTAATTACATTAAACAAAAAAAAAAAAAAGGATACACCATCATTCACCAGAATGTTCAACCACTGCCCATGATTCTCTAGCCAGGGCTGTGACATAGGGATCTCTTCAATATTTACAGCTTTGCAGCATTACTTGCAGTTAATTTCTGTGCATTAAACATGGTGCAAGACATTAAATTTTACTATCTTCTGTTACATTAGACAGGAAAAAGCATTAAGGTTGCAAAAATTGTTTATAAATTTACAAGCTCTTACCCTACAAGGGGTATTTATCCTGAATTTTATATGCCCTTCAGGGCCCACTGAATACAGTCGCCTAGGATTTCAATTTTGAGTACCTGCAGAGATAAGCTAGATAGTTAGGAAATAAAGTTGTGACCAGTCTGCAAGGAGACAACCAGATAAGAAGAGAGATCTCAGTTATTACAAGTTTCTAAGTATTGTGATCAATGTAGGTTCTCAATATCAAATTTCTTCACAACCAACCAACCTAAGATGCATTCTGTATGTGGAAAGTGAACTGCATATGTTAATCTGGCGAAGCTTATTAAAATCAATGAAAAAATGTAATTTTTTTATGATCAGCTCGATGAGGCTGTTACAGCTGGAACACAAAAATCAGGACTGCCTGCAATTATATCTTGAGTTTCTTAGGAATATGACTGCCCCTGTGGTCTAGTGGTCGGAATTCCTCACTACAGATCCAGAGGTCCTGGTTAGATTCCTGGCACTACCAGATTTTTTCTGAGAAGTAGTGGGTCTGGAACGGGGTCCACTCAGCCTTGTGATTATAATTGAGGAGCTATTTCAAGGAAATAGCGACTACGGTCTAGAAAACTGAAATTAATGGCCATGGGGATTCGTTGTGCTGACCATGTGACAATCTCTATTCACAAAAGTTGGTACTAACTTCACCGACAAGTGGCAGTCGCTCGGTCAGTATACACTTGGTTGTCGACTTACGATAGACTTCCGTTCTCACTGACATGTTGTAAGTCAAAATGGTCGTATGTTGGCCATATATTTATTAACAGTACACTTGGTCATGGACTTACAACCACAAAAAATGGAAAATAAAAGATGACTAAAATGTAAAATTTTTTTAAAGATAAATTATAAAGATGATAAAAAGATTAGAAAGGTTAAAAAATACTGTTAATAAATATATGGCTGACATATGACCAGATCGACTTACGACCTGTCAGTCAGAACAGAAGTCAGTCATAAGTCGACGACCAAGTGTATTTTTTAACTTTTCTAATCTTTTTATCATCTTTATAATTTATTTTTAAAAACTTTTACATTTTAATTATCTTTTATTTTTCATTTTTTGTGGTCGTAAGTACGGCTGGTCGTAAGTCGACGACCAAGTGTAATTTGCTTGTAGACTAAAGTCACAGAGTTTTTTTTTTTGTTTGTTTCTTCGGAATGTTGTTACAAATATTGCAGATGTAACCATACAGTCTAATTCTTCATGGAAGTTTAGACAATACAAGACAAGACAAGACCAGTCTACTTACCATGAATGCTGATTGTATATTATGATACACCAAGCTACAAAGAAAGACACTGCACTTTGAAGTAGTATCACTACATTGGGTTCTTTTACTTGAAGGCATGCCTGATCCATATATCAGTTGCTGATACTTCTAATATAAACCATGATGCTTAACAGTTTCAGAATAATGCACACAGTTTGTATTCCAAAATACATTTTATGCTGAAATAACTGCAGAACAGCTTTCATATATGGCACACATTCAGGAAGCAAACATAACACCCAATCATGTTTATGGTCTGATAATAAATAAAGAATTGTGATCACAGACAGAAATACAGTATAATATTAATACATGAATATTTTGAACTAGTCCTTGGTTGCAAATTTTATCTTTAATTTACAACAGTTCCATCAGATTAGAATTGAAAAGTTGAGATACTATAACATACCAGGAGGTGCCTTCTTGCATTCCCACGACTTTTCATCCTCATCAGTAACACCAGATACAAAAACATGATTCTCTCCTTCCCGTGATGGCCAGGACTGGGAAGGTGCAGCTGGGAAACACTTTGTCAAGCTGTTCTGTACCACACGTCTTGTTTGACATGCCATTTTCATCCAATCATTCAGCCGCCTCTGATCACGCAGAACCAATGCCAAATCTGAATAATTCACACATACCTTTATGTGGCATTAATTTAAATCTATTATGTTAAAATGTATCAAACTATCTTATTATTCTTTGTTTCTTGCTGTTATTTTAAGTGTGAAGCAGGATCAATACACAATATATACATGTCAGAAGATAATAAACATGCAGCACCTCCAAAAGTTTTTCTGCATAAGTTAATAATGTTGACCAGTGGATAATGTATGTGTATAGTGAACTGTGTGACTGTGGATACTGAAGTTCTGTAAACAGGGGATATTTGTAAGGCCAGAAGTGGAGCCAGAAGAGATGGGTGTGTCTAGGCAACTGCACAGTAAACAACTCTCTGCTGCACCAATGAATGCAGGAACTGTTGGGCCATTGCCAGACAAAATAGTGTTTTCTATGCAGCCCATGTCAAGGCTATATAACAGACAGCCAGTCATGAGAGATCATCTCTCCCGTGTGGAGGCGGGGTCGAATACCTCCACCGTGACCCTGCGAGTTGTAGGAGGCGACAAAACGGGAAGTCTCAAATCTGACAGTTAAAAATGGTCGCGAGTCCCAAGGGACTCGGACCCGAGAAAGACCGCGCTGGCAAGGGCCAGCAGCATATGCAAAAGACAGACCCGTCCTCTCATCAGAGAGGGCCCCACCACAAAAGCAGGACCGCAACTGTCAAAGCATAACAAATATCTGGTCATGAGCCCCAGATGGAGCTCGACACCAAGACTTACTGACTAATTGACTGACTGTCGGTTGCAATGTGACTTTGACTTTGACTTTGAGAGATCACCTCTGCTCACAGTACACAAAGCAAAGCCAGACAGGAAATATAAGAGACTTAAGGAAAAGTTGGAGGTGGTCAAACTTAAAACCATTCAAGTGACTAAGCTGCTGTTGTAGCATCAGATACGCAAGATAGGCATGATCTGCTTTGCAAAGCCTAGTGCAAAAGGAAGAATTCTCATTCACATACGACATGTGTGATATGTACACCTGAGAAAGGCCAAGCATATTCATAAGAAGCAAACCCATATTCTCATCAGAGATGTTACATAAGGACTGTGGAAGCAAGGGTTGAGCAAGGGAAAAAACTCTCGTAATAAGTCCCAAGGGGCTTGACACCAAGACCAACTAATTGGCAATAAACCACAAGTCGTAAAGTAACTCTGATGTTGGGACTCGTCTTTCCAAGGTGCACACCAGTACTCAATTTGCACAAGGCTTTCAACATTCCGTATGTATAAAATTATATAACAAAATTGTACAGGCACTGTAAGTCAAAGACAGCTTTAAGTTCTAATATCTGGAATTCAAACACTCTATTCTGCAACAAGAATATGAGTCATCACAGTATATATTTTACAGACATTTTATCATCACAACCAGCTTTGATTCATATGGACTCTAACTTAAGTCTGTGGCTGTACCTGTACGATTCTTTCTTGCTTAGTACCAAGCACTGTTCATTTTATTAACTCTCACTATTACTATGTGAGACAAAGCAAAAAAAAAAAATCATAAATTACCATTTCACATTGACGTGAACTGGATGTATACTTAATTAATCACTGCAACGTTCTCTCGTGCACGTTCAACAACACCTGTTTACCAAATATTTCTATAATACTTCAAATGTCATTATCATTCATTGTTTATGTTGCTACTGAAAAGTGAGGAATGTACATATATAGGATGGCAGAGTAATTCCCAACAAACATCTACCAGTTCAGATTTGTACACCACAAATCACTCACAGAAGTTATCTTGGTAGAAATGAATGGCTGGACTAAGCTCCAAGGACATTCTTCCACATATTCCTGCCATATATTTGGCTGTCCACATGCTCCCCAACCCCTATGTGCACTGTGGCTGACATCCCTTGACTTTTACATGGTGGGGTAGGCTAAGAACATGGCTGAAGGGGGTCAACCTATACGACTTTCTAAAAGAAAAGGGTTTGCAACATCTCAGTGAATCATTCATCAACCTTCTTGGTCAAGGAGACAGAAAACCATTCAAAGCCCAAACTGGAAATGAAGCGCCATGCAGAAAGTAAGATGTCCATAGTGAATCAGAATATCACAACCAAATTTCTTCTGTCTCTTAGATTAGGTTAGGTTAAGTTAGATCGGGTTATATTATTATTCATCACAGTGAAACATGTGATCACAGTCTGGCTGCAGGTCACATTGTTATAATTATATCATCAATGAGCGGATTGACCTTCAAGTTGTTGATTTAGTTACCTTCTGTTCTCCTCCTTGCCCTTAGTAGCATATCTGGTTCTCGTTAATCTTTTATCATGGTGTGATGTGTTAGAAATGTGATTATTTTAGATAAGACTGAAAACAGCTGATACTTCTCAATATATCAGGAATATACAAATGAGATATCTACAAGTAGATTATAAATGGTTCTGACAATGGTGCATAGCACTCGAATTACTGGGTTTTTCAACTTCGTCCATTGTCCATTATTCTACAAAATTAGAGAATGCAATGTTTTGGAAACTGAATATGTTTACATCCTCAAGTGAGGGAGGTCAGCTCTTTCGAAGGGACCCATCAGAGTAGGTGTCTCCCTTCTCACCTATGGATGGAAACAGATCCATTTTCTGAAATGTGTTCCCGTTTTTTTTTAATACCAGACAATGGACAAAGTCCAAAAACCCAGTAATATAGAAGCTTACACTCTGGTGATGGGCTGAGAAAAGGGGGATACTGCTGGTAGAGACAGAAAACTAGACTCAAGCCTGAAGTTTTCTGTCTCAAACCTGTATTTGCTTTGTGGGAGATGCTTGTACAAATCAAACCGCTTGGCATTTTCTATCTTTAGTTCTGCTTTTTTACTTTACATACCTAACTGTCCTTTCTTTGACTGTGAATTCACTAAGTAAAATGGAACATGCATTTGGTGTTCCTGGGAGCATACTGGCCATCGGTTCCATTCCATGCTGCACGTAACTACACTTGCAGGGCAAGTTTCCAAATGTCTTGCTCTCTGGTGGCGTACTAAAGTAACAGGACAGCCATTGCCCGCATTTATGCAAGCAACTTTTTCATTAGCACACAGAAGTTTATGTTCAGTTAATTTACAAGCATGGAAGCGAAAGCCACAACTCAATTCACACGTCACTATCTCACAGCTTTCATTACGAGTTGGCTGCATCATACATTTGGTCACTTTAATACAAGTGTCACAGTGGGAGTGGCTACCAACACTTCTCTCAACATCATTGTTTTGCTCACTTTTGCTGCTTTCCACTAACTCTCTCATTGCAGTCATTAACATTCCGTCACTCAGCCCCTCCAATCAAAGTGCAATTATCAGCAAAATCCTTTCATGAATGTGCTGTAAAGAAGGAAACAAACAGTACAAATTATGAAAGTAGACAATATTTATCATACATTCCAAAAGAAAAAACTGAGAACCTAAAGGAGGAAAGAGCAATCCATAATGGAGAAGTTTATTTAAAAACTCTGTCAGCAGCTGAGACTATATAGCATTCAACAGTGCAATGATTAGTGAATAATGAATTGGAAACAATAACGAAGGAAGCGGTTGTAGGAAACATTGCGCTACTATCATGGCATGTGCCTGGAGAGACTTAGGAAAACTACAGAAAGACCCTGCGAGAATAGCGGGTCTCTGGGCTGAAATGCAAACCCGTGACCTCCCCCCCTCAAAAAAAAAAGTACGAGTACTTAGAACAATCCAAAGGCGGCCTCCACTTCTGGTGTCCACTGGATGGCTTACTTCACCTCCATGACTTTAGTTAGTGGTTTTGCAATGTTGGCAAAACCAGAAATAAACCATCCATAATAGGTGCATAGACCCAGGAAGCTTCTGATCTTGTGTTTGTTCTTTGGGGTCGGTGGTTATCCCCTCAGGTGACACAATATGTACGAAGTATCATACGTCATTCTCAAAGAGTTGACACTTCTCCCAATTGAGCTTTTGATGGGCTTCTTGGAACTGTTGGAACACTTTCCGAAGGTCGAGCAGGTGCTCGTGGAATGTGAGGCCAATCATGATCTGTTGTCCAGGTACACAAGACATGACTCATAAGTTTGGGCTCTTAAGATGGTCTCCATTAATCACTCTAACATCACTAGAGCATTGCAGAGGCCAGAGCGCATGACTCTGAACTGCCATCAAGAACACAGTCTTCTTCATCCAGACAAGAATGGCAAGGGACAACCAGGGTCTGTCTGACACACTGACAAACCCACATTGTTACATGTCCTCAAGCATCTCACCCACATTCAGTTGTTTTGCTAGGTGAAGCATCCTCGGGGTTAGCAGATCAGATGGGACTCTTGCACATCAATATGGTGGTACACTCTGCCAGTCCATCTGTAGTCATTGCTCTCCAACGCAAAAATGTCTCTGTACTCGGCAAGGAGCTCATGCAATTCTCAGGATTCAGTGTCACTCGGGTTTGGCCTGGCTTCTGCAATCACATCCTGTAACTTCAGGGACCTGTGATTCTTCAACATCGGGTGGGGCCACCAACATGACTGGCTCACACTGTTCCAGAGGTGATCATTTGTGAGGTTCTGGTCAAGGCGGGTAGCATTCAGGACCCTCACTAGTACCTCAGAGTGATCTCCGACCACGGTCATGGCTATGCAGAGTCCCTCGGGCAGATGGGCCTCCAGACTAGGTTACACCAGGCCACTTTCCACTCCAAGGGGGCTCTCCAATCAAGCCATCACCACTCTCTCACAGTGTGCAGGAATCAGCTGATCACTGGCTGTGGGGCACCACAGCGTTGCCTCTTCTTCTGCAAGATACAGTGTTTGGTGCCCTAGGTCCACAGATGCCTCACATGTGCACAACATGTCCAGCCCCAAGATGAACTTGTTTGTGATACTAGCAACGAATACTAACACTTTCAGTGGGTGCCACCTCACAGTCAGCGCCAGGAAAACTTCTGTCTCGTTTCCCGCACCGGTTGTCGTTTTCTGCTTTCCTCCCATAAGGGCAGTTACCCCAAAGTTGCCTGGCTCACCACGGCTCCAGCATGCCGATTGTCTTTGGCCTCTTTGCCCGGTTGGGGGTGCTCGGCTCCCCCAATATGTACTGGCACTCGTTTTCTTTTGGCTTGGCTGCGTGGAGCATGGTCTGCAGCTTGACAGCCTGCCTGTGAGCCTCGTTCACCATTTTCTCTCCTCCAAGCAGCAGCTGGGTTCTAATGGTGGGATGTTCTACCCAGTCATCGAACGCCTTACCTGTCTCCCTCTTTATATGGTCCATGGGTAGTGCAAGGTAGGTGGGGTGGGCCAGCTGTTCCACAGGTGTGGTAAATTCTTGCAAAGATTCCCTGTTACCATGGGTCCTCATTTATAGCTGACTGCAATATGCTCCAACCAGGCACTGATCCTCAAAGCTGTCCTCCAGGGCCTCAAGTCACTCTTTTCGGGACTCCAAGTAGCAAGTCGGTGGCACGGCCCTGCAAGCTGATCAAGCTTGTGGATTCCACCAAGTGCGTCCAGCAGTGGCGCTCTGCTAGTCTCGAACTGGCACTGGAACACAGCCCATGATGTAATGATGAAGNGGTCACTCTTTTCGGGACTCCGTGTAGCAAGTAGGTGGCACGGCCCTGCAAGCTGATCAAGCATGTGGATTCCACCAAGTGCGTCCAGCAGTGGCGCTCTGCTACAGTCTCGAACTGGCACTGGAACACAGCCCATGATGTAATGATGAAGTATGTGGACAGGTTTGGATAATCAGGCGCATGCCATGATCCAGACATTATTTCCAGACAACAATGCAGCTTTCTAAGACTACAGTGCCCCCATTCACACAGCTGGAACTGTTCAGTCATGGTTTGAACAGCATGAAGGTGAACTTCAACATCTTTCCTTGTGAGCAGAAGCATCAGATTTGAAAATCACTGAGACACTCTGGTCAGTACAGTGTGGAACAGATTCCCACCTCCAGTATCTCTAAAGCAGCTTGAAGATGTTCTTCAAGAAGAGTGGTACAAAATTTCACTACAGACTGTACAAAAGTTGTACAAGTTCATTCCAAGAAGAACTGCAGCTGTATTGAAGGCAAAAGGTTGGCCAACACTATATTAATAAAGAAACGTGTACAGTATCTATACACATAGCGTTTTAATTATTTTGTTCAACCCCTTCTGTGTGTGTGTGTGCATGCAGCGCACATTTCATTTTAGGAGGATATGTATTTGCATATAGCCTCCTCTAGAAGGGGCATATTACTGGCACTTAGGAGTACCCATAAAGTTCTATGGATATATACAAAGTGTATGCAAAAGGTGCAGCCAAACTTTGGGCACAAGTTCCACATACCAAAACAAGAAAATATGTCCATGTGTCCTGAAAAATATGTGACTTACAGATGAAAGAGTACACTTTTCAATGCACACCTTGACACATATCATGGACCACTGCGTGCATTGAAAGTCGTCACAACAGTTGCAAAGAATCTGACAGGCACCCACAATGTGATGGTGAAGTTCATCTTCATTGTCAACAGGAGCTGCACATACATGGATTCAAATCTGGCAAGTGTGGAGGCAATAAAGTTAGTCCTCTTCTGTATTTTCATCAGTAACAATACGTGTTATTGAGAACATCTTGCACAGCATGGCTAGTGCTAGAGCACCATCATGCGTGCACCATATTCATGCTCTCACTGCCAGTGGTACATCTTCCAGTAGCTTTGGCAGATCATATAAAAGGAAATCTAAGCTGATGTAGCAAAATATGCTGTCCTAACAATCACCAACAATTCCTGTCCACACATTAATGCCGAACTGCTGCTGGTGTCTCAACAGTTTTCTTTCCACTATAACTCACAAATTAAATGTTTCCAGACACACGTTGATATGGGCATTCTTTTGTTTTGGTAAATTTTGTATGCACCTTTCAGTTACACACTGCATATAATACACATATATCCTGTTCTAGTATTATATATATATATAACTTCCTTTAGAAAGGACATATTTATTGACCCATATGGGTAATGCATAAAGTTGTATGAATTCAACACATATGTAGGAAATGAACCACAATTAAACCAATACTAAAGAGACATTTTGGTGAGGGTTTCAGAATGAAGAAATTGTATCTTACACATTACCTTGTTTTGAAATTGAGTAACATAGCACTTATCTGCTGATGCACACTTCACCACACTCTAAACAGTTTTACACACGTCACATGCATTTTGATTAAAAAAAAGACTGCAAAACAACTCACAGCAATAAACCATCATCAGTGTACTCGCCCCAGACGGACGTAAGCCAAATTTCAGTTTTCAGAATATTAGGCATTTGCAGTTCAATGGTTACACTATATTCTGGACCATATCAAGAATTGCTCAACAACAGACCCAAGCAGGTTCGTCTAGCAATAAATTTACAGACTTGTACTTGTGGCGACACTCTGTTCAATACTCAGCCAGTACACTGGTTCAGCCTTCTGTGGTTTCCTCCAATCCCTCCAGGCATATGCCAGGGCAGAATCTCGATTAGACCACAACCACTTCGCTTCAAGACCTTTTCATTATTCACCTATCAACCTCTCATCAGATGATATGCAGTCTCGACATTTAAAATAAATTAATATATTACAATTCTTGCGGCTGCTTAAGAAAACCGCTCCCAATTGTGTATAAGTAAAACAGCTTAAAGACAGGGATACGAAAAAATGAACGAAATAACGTTTATTACAATTCTGACTTCAGAGTGATGGCAATGACCTGTCAAGCCGAAATTCATCTGCATGACAAAAACATCACTTCATATTTCAAATTCATTTGTCTTGCAATATCTAATTTTACATATAAAGTTATACAATATGGGGCTTTCGCACTTTTTTTTTTGGTAAAAAAGAATATATATAATTCCGTAATCAATATCTGAAAGAAAACTATCCTTTCAAAATGCGTACGGCTATACCAAAAGCAGAGTGACAACCACAGTTTGACAGTGTTCTTTGGAATACACAGAATTGTCATATTTTAAAATTCCCTTCCTTAAGTGACTGTACATAACATCGTATAAATAAACACTTCCAGCCAAAAAACTCACCAAAATTTCTTATATAAATAATTGAAACTTATATTATACTATCATGACAACTACAATACAAAATATTAATCACCAACGCTTACAACTTCAACCAGGTGTTAGATCACAGATTACCGGCTGAGGTACGAACGGTTTGAACCGGTATGAACCATACAGTTGACTAAACGATGTGAAATGTTGAACACGGAAGGAATAACAGCTTAATACTTATCACGGATTACAACATGTAGATGTCTGTGACTTTCATCATTGACCGATCATAGATCTTATATCACCTTATATATCTTATATGCTGCAGAGCCTGAAGAAAATTAATGTAGAGTGTAAGAGCGGAAATAATTATCTGAAAATGCACTGCACTGATTTATGAAACGCAAGTAATTAGTTACAAAGGTTAAAACTAAAGTTTTCAGATTACAGACCCTACATTATTCATTTTAGGGTTCTGCAATGGCTGTGTCAATGTTACATTTACGATTTTTCTTGTTAATGATTCTATATGAAACATGAATGAAATGGAGCGCATTTTCATAGGTCGATCCACGGACTCATTGGCTGCCATATTCTTGTCATAAGAGGAATGACAGCGCCAGTAGAAGAGTTGCTGGCACTAAATGATTGAGAGTTCAAAATTTCGCTCTCCGGGCACTTTATTCTCTCCGAAATAGCCGTTCTTTAGGTAATAACATGCATCCCTCAGTCACCTACACTTGTTATGTCTTGTTCCTCTTGTTCAATAATGAGTTACATAATAAATCAGAAATAATGTTTACATTGAGCTGTTTCCAGGGCCTCTCTTGATGTGCTCCATGTTCATTATACATTGCAGTGTAATAAACTACATGATGTTATGAAGAATACAATCTTCAGTATTCGTGACGCCGTGTGGTTGGGTAGAAGTCCATTGACATTAACAGTGTCAGACAAAGCCACTGTCTCTTAACTTTAGGGCTGAAGAATAAGCAGCAGAAAACGAGCAATAATATCATTCCTATACTCCTCCACTTTCCTGAAACAGGATTCACCACAACCATGCAGACTTACGTTCACTGATTTCAGCAGAAGCCACAGGGGTCAGCACACCAAATAGTAATAGTAAAATATTACTTGCAGCTGTTTATAAATATCCTGGATTGATGAGGACATCATTGAACTCATAAATGCATACTGGCAGGTGATCTGAAGGCTACATATCAATTTTGAAATAGTCCTGTTTCTCAGGCTAGAAACTTTGTTTGATACAAAAGAATGAAAAGTTTCAGCACCACAAGACCACACCCATTACTCTCCTGTGGGAAATAGTGATGTACTCAACACTGTGGTTGATCAGAATATCAGACTGTCAAGAGGTGTGATCGTTTCTGATATCCTGGACTCAAATCAGTATTACACATACTGAATCATGTTACAATTAAAAACCTTTCAGAACCATTTGAAAAATTCACAAACTGGGAATGGATTCAAAGCCTTGGCTCTGACTTAGTGTTACCTAGAATCAAAGTTACCCCAGAGGAAGAAACCGATAAAGCGGCAAGCAACTTTACATCTTCTATAGCTTCGGCATGTATGAATAGACTGTTGACAAGTAAAGTTTCACTTCTGGATATAAATTACTACCATCTTCCTGGATTATATCATTGGTTAAAACAAATCAAAGGTAAAAACCCAGAATCCAGCATGTAAAGCGGCAGTCAATTGGGTCAAGAAAACCATCAGAAAAACGATCTGCAGAAAGACACTTGAAAGGTGAGAAATGAAAATAGAGAACTGGGGTCACACATGAAGCAGTATGGCCTATTGCAAAATCTCTCATGAAGAGGGATGGACCAGAGAACCCACTCCTATTCATGGTCCTTCAGGCCTTAAGAATAATTTGTTAGAGAAACCCAACACAATACCTTACTGGGAAATCAGTTTACACCCCATGACCCGTGCGTTGACAACCATGAATGGTGGGTAGAGCATGTAGTTCAAGCTCTGCTTGAAGCTGCAAACAATAACCCCCCTGAAAGAATCAGACCATGCGATATACAGAAATTAATAAATTCCTTTGAAATTGAGAAAGGTCTGCGCAATGGATGATCTTCCAAATGAATGCTTCAAACAGCTTCCAAGGAGACCATTGGTACATGTAACACATTTCATTAATCACTGCAAAGGTGATAAACCTTACCAACACCCGCTAAGGAGCTTAAATCCCCCCAAAATCTACGTCTGATCAGTTTCTTGCCCATGACGGGCGAACCATTTGAGATGTTATATTAAAATTAGACCAAAGACACATCGAAGAAGAGTTTGGTTTCCGTTAAACATTAGAGCATGACATGAGCAATGTATGAGGATTACAGACCACGTGACATTAAAATTCAACAATAACATGTCTACGGTGGTGGTATTCTTGGGCACTGAAAAAGACTTTGATACAACATGACACCATGAACTGTTACACAAGTTCATTCATTCATTCATCTGTAATCTGTCAAGACGACAGGTCCACAGTCTCTTCCAAAACAGTTCCTCCACTTGATGCGATCTAGAGCTTTCTCTTTCAAATGACAGTATCCTCTTCTGTCCCCAAAGTCAGCCAGCATCATCTTACGTCTTCTTGTCACTTCTATCCACCCCTCTATCTTTCCTTCAATAACTTCTTTTAGAAGGCACTTACAAGTTACTGTACATTAATTAAAATTTTCAGTGAATTTATTCCAGCTTATAAAATTTTCCACTTTCCAAAGGCTTCTGATGACTGACTCTGGCATTTCATGAATGTCACTAAGGTACTGATGATGTATACTTCCATAAAAACAATAGGATTTTCCACTTTTTGGCTGCCATTCTCTTTCCAGACATGTTATGAACTCCAGGAAGAGTGCACAAGTTATCCGTGCACTGCTGTTATGTCTGTATGAACATGGCAGGAGCTGCATAAGAATGATGCTCCTTGGCTTCTCTTTGACTTTCCACTTACCAGCAACAGCATATTTTCAGATCCATTGATATTTACACACAGAAGCAAAGTAATTCTATCTTTATTCCTCCTGCCTCCATCAGATCTTTCATATTTAAAAGCGTATGGTTTTTGTGGGAGAAGGCTGAGAAAAACCCATACTCACCTGAATTACATATATCTTTCAGTTCGCATTTTCTCAGAAGGAATGGAAGCATTCCAATCTTCTAAGTACCTATTTGCTCTTGAATTGCACTTCCAGATTCCCATCGCCTGCATAGAGGCAGGTTCGAACCTCCACTGTAACCCTGCAAGTTGTAGGAGGCGACAAAAAGGGAAGTCTCAAATTTGAGACAGTCTCGAGTACCAAGGGACTCGGACCTGAGAAGGACTGCGCTGGCAAGGACCAGAAGCATATACAAAAGACAGACCCGTCCTCTCGTCAGAGAGGGCGCCCACAAGAAACAAGATCGTAACTGTCAAACAGGAATAAAGATCTGGTCTCAAGCCCCAGATGAGTGCCTTATGCCAAGACAGACTGGCTGACTGACCGTCGGTCGTAAAATGAGACTCAGACTCAGATTCACATCTCATGGCTCTGTAGCTAAGAACTACATGTTTTCTGAATTAATCAAACCATCCATTCAAAGGTGTGAATTCAATGTCTAATTTTAAGGCTACTTCTTCAGCCTTCTCTCTCAAGACTGGATTTTGAATTGGTATAAATAACAACAATTTCTGCCCAAACCACTTCAGGAGTATTGATTCAGTCTTCTTATATTTAAAAGTTTTTAAATTTTCTCTGACTGGTTGAGTAGTTACATTGCTTAAGTTTTTTTTTTGTGTGTTTGCCATAATGCTACTTATCAATAATACTATTATGCTAAGCTGTTCCATAACATTTGTGCACATCACATATGGGCGAAAATTCACCTTCTTAATGACCTACAGTTTCTCAGAAACTGGTAACACCTTATGATTTATGTTTGTTTTCATAGCCATATATAACACACATTCCAGTTTACGTCCATGCAACCTCATAAAATTCAACATACTTGTTCGAAAAAGACCATGCTACCAGCTATATGGATAGAGGTCAGAAAATCACCACTAATTCCACCCATCTTCCACCACTCACCAAGTGCAACTGAGTGCTGCTAAGCACTGTAACGTTTGATTTATGTGAGCATTTACTGTATTTCCGATTTATTTCTGTATATACAGTGTGACAATTAAGTTCCAGAACTGAGGCCATAAAAACACACAAAAACGATAAAAATGTGTATTAATACCATCACTCAATATAGTCCCCACCCACTTCCACACAATGTTTACATTGCTCATACAATGAACTAAATGCCCGAGAAAATGCTTCTTTCCATGTCACCTTCAGTTCTCTTATCAGTCTGTTGGATTAATGAAACAGCCTTGAATCTCCTCCCTTTCATCAACATTTTTAATTCAGGGAATAGAAAAAAGTCAGTCGGTGCTAAATGAGGGAAGTAGAGAAGATGGGATAAGATGGGGATCCCTGGTGGGATGCTGGTGCATTGTTGTGCAAAAGATACCATGGCCAACTTTCCTGAAACTCAGCCCTAACACGATGAACTTGAGCAACCAATTTCTTAATCACCTCTTTGTGAAATTATACCATTTACAGTCTGTTTTTCCAATGCAAATTCATAATGAATAATAACTTTATCATCAAAAAATGCAGTCAACATTGTTTTCACCCACGATTTTTGCATTCTCACATTCTGAGCTTCTATGTACCTTTTATGCATTCAAACACACTTGTTATCAATAAACATTCTTCACCATACACACTTTCCAACATTTCAAACATGTCAGTAGCTATTTTCTTTAATTTTACACAAAACTCCATAGCTACTTTGTTTCATTTTGAAACCTTCAACACGACAAAAAGCTAACTTCACCAAAACAATTGTAATCCTCATATGCAGCAACCAAACTTGCACATCATTCAAATAGACTTTCTCTCTAACTATTCCTGTTCATTCCCAATAGATGGAATTAGTAATATTCCTGTAATAGCGTCAGTCCGGGAACTTCATTACAACACTGTGTACGCATAATCCAACAGAAATACATTAAACGGGTAAAATGTTTCATAAGTGTCTTTAAAATCACTGTTCTTCAGCAGGAATACCTTTTATTGCAGGAAACGTTTTAAACAGGATATAAATACATTATTCTTTTGTTACTACTTTTTGGACCCAATAATTTTAACTTTGTAGGCAAGACACCATTTTAAATGGAATTTTCTTACGTTGGGTCCACTGTATACATCAAACACTTATGAAACATCTTAAAAATCAGCCTTACAAAGGATGCCCACAGTGGCGATACCAATGTGCAGAATATCTCAGATGTCACTCAGGGGTGAAATACAACAGTTACAATTAAAGAAACCAATTCAGTCCTTCAGAGCAGCAAGATCGAGATGGAAACAATCATTTTGAAGCTCACTGTTTCAGCAGTTGAGATGAAACTGCCTCCCTGCATTGTTTCAAACATGAAAACTTTGAAAAAGGAACACTTTCCTCCAGGTATAATATTTCTGCTGAATCTAACAATGGAGGTATAAAAATTTAGTTCAAGACTAATTTAAATATGTTTGGAGAAAAAATGTCTTTCAGCAAATCAATGATGCTGATTCTTGACAACATAAGCCTTATTTTTTGGTGCCGAGGAACAGTTAAATATTAATATTAATGTGGTAAGACTTTTTTAAGGGCTGCTCAAAGAAGTAAAATGAACTGTTGACATCTAGAAATCTTGCACTTCCTCTAACTGCACACCTAATGTAATGAATAGGGCAGATGATGGCATACAGTTTGAATCAGACAAGCTAGGAAGCAAATGCAATGAATGTGATAAATCTAAAAGTACTGACCATTCTAAGAGTGAACAGTTCCATGAAAACCAGTGATTTTTATAGTATATTATCACATACACATTATTCTGAAAACTTCATAAAATTTATATTTAAATAACAAATTTCAATGAACAATTCAAAAAAGTACTGATCTCTTATTATATTAAATTTAAATGCCCTGGCCAGATTTAAATTTGCAGTTTCTAATTCAATTAAAAGTTAACTTTTCCAGTACTGTGAACAAAAACCTAAAACAAAATGTGTCTTGAATGATAACTAAACATGTTTTCATGCTTTAAATTATTTATACATGAATATTTTTTGTGTCCTCTGGAAATGGGTATAAATCTGAAACATTATAAAAATATGTGAATATTTATATATTCACATGTATGCAAACATATCACATATTATGGTGTCAGACGTCTGTCCAATATTCAAAAGTCAAATCTGTGATAGAATTTAAAACACAGGTCTACATAGAACATCCATACAGAGCGTACATACGCTGATCACACGAGACATTCATCTCTGTCAGGTGTCTTCAAATAGACATGATACTTTCCACCATCAAAAATTCATAAATAAGGATACTCTAGGTGCTTCATTGCTTTCCAAACTACACCTCCGTCCTCATGTGTCTTGTGCAAGCTGTTGTCTGACAATACAGTTTCGCCTTCCAAACTACTGCAGTCTCCTAGAACACCTCCGTCCTCATGTGTCTTGTGCAAGCTGTTGTCTGACAATACAGTTTCGCCTTCCAAACTACAGCAGTCACCTAGGAAATCTCCATCCTCATAAGTCTCACTCAAGCTGTTGTCTGACTGTACGGTGTTGCCTTCCTCATTTTCTGCATTACTTTCATCCAATGTTCCCTTACTTTACCTGTTAGGTAAGCATCACTGTCACCGTGCAAAATTAATCTATCAGCAGTCACTTACTTGGTGTATGGAAGACATTTTAGAGCACAGGAAGCTTTACAAGGTTTTCAGCCTACTAAAAACAGAACAAAAAGAACATCGGATATCATAATGAATACTACAAAGTTATATATAAAATTCTTAGATATGTTTCCTTTCCTTACCAGTTGGAAAGACTTCAAGGGAATGCTGACAGAGGAACCACTTGACAGCTCTATTGCGAGAGCTGCTTACAGCCTGTAAATCCAACCACCAGAAGCACACAATGGGTAGGGCAAGGCCATATTGTTTTTCATTTCCTTTTCTAAAATACATTCTCTATGCTTGAGATTTTGTTTATAAATGACAAGAAACTGGATCTGTAGCTAAGTTACTGTAGCAGAATGACTGGCCCAGTTCATTATAAGTGATAATATATGTATCAATTTCTTATGCAAAAATGTTTATAATTTATGAGACTATCTCCTGCCGATGGTCGATATACTGCTTCTTTTCTTCTTGTCATAAGACGATTTTTACAGTTGCCTAATAAATAACATCAATTGCATAAACCATTTAGGCAGGCTTATATTAAGTATTAATACATGGATAGGTATTTATTGTATTTGGAAACTAATCAATAAATATGTCAAATCACTATGAAAAAAATTTTATCTTCAATTCAACCTTTCAACTTTTAGAGTGCTCATTATACGTATTTGATAAGATAAAGTAAAAGAACGTAGCTTCACCGAAGTATATACAGATGTACGTTATTTGTTCAGTCCTATGAAATCCACATAAATCATTATATGCAGGTAGCAAATTCAGAGATTCCTTCACTTCTTTTAAAGGGGCCTTCTGAAATGTAAATGCAGTCTATTACATGAGTCAAATTCATATTTTAGCACATAAACACACACACTAGTGAACTAATTTCAGTCAAACATTGTTCTGAAAACAGGAGTCTTAACAGAGTTGAATTCTTCAACCGAAATTGATGCTGTCTTGATAACGTGCCAGTATATAGAGAGCTAAAACACCTATACCCATGCCAATGTTCTGCAACAGCAAGGTCTGGAAGGCTTTCTTCAAGCTTACTTTGCTAGCCTCTTCTGCTACCTCATTCATTTCTGGGACCTTGAAAACAAACAACAATATACATCAATAAGACTGAAGTTAACATTGCGGTAATTATTGTCTGCTACACATTACACTGCCACCCCTCACACACACAAACAGCAACTTCACTGCTGATATTACATTAATGTGATCAAGATTGTGTTACATAATCATAAACATACAATTCGTATTTACAGTCATTTTCCTTCTTATGTTGTAGTTAATGGATATTAATCTTCTGGACATTCAGTAGAATTCCCTGGATGGAGCATGAGCACATCACAAAATGTCAGAACTGAATAATTAGCACTTATGCCTTGTATGAATCAAACTGAATTGAAGAATTGTATTTTTTATGGAGAGGAGATATTAGCCCCACGCCCAGCCCCTAAGATGGAGGACCACCCACTGTCAGCTGTTTGTGACCGCTTATTCAATATATTCACAGCTACCTTCCATATCTGGAGGCCGTCTCCTACATCTGCAACCTGAGGACGTGCCATGCTGTGGTGACAAAGGACCATATATTACAACGTTCCGTATATAATGCCTCATATTTTTTTTTAAAGAAAACTACAACAGATACAGAAAGCATAATAATGCAGTTAAATAGAGCAAGATTTCAGCTACTTACAGTTATTTTTCCACATAATCACCACCATTCGTTATGCACTTTTGCCAGCGATTAACAAGAGCCTGTATGCTGCGCCCGTAAAAGTCTGCGCCAGCAGAGGCTAGCCACTTTCTTACAGCTGCAATGACAGCATCGTTGTCTGGAAAATGTTGCCCATGTAGTCCGTCTTTCTTAGGCCCAAAGAGATGGAAGTCTGAAGGTGCTAAACCGGGGCTATAAGGTGGATGTGGTAGGACAGTCCAGCCAAACTTTGCAATGTGCGCGGTGGTCACCAAACTTGTATGGGGTCTAGCGTTATCATGTTGCAAGCAAAAGGTTGTCTGCTTCTTTGGCCTGACTCGGGAAATGCGGGCTTTCAGCTTAGTCAGCGTCGTTTTGTAGCGTTCAGAATTGACAGTCCCTGGTCGTTATCTGCTGATCTGTATGGATGAGGCGCTGTTCATTGTGAGGAGTGGCAGCTGAGCAGGGACGCCCAGGGCGTGGCTTGTCGTGCACTTCACTTTCGCCACTGTTGAAACGCACTACCCACCGCCTCACTGTGCTGACATCCACTGTATTGTCTCCGTACACCTTTAGCAAGTGTCGATGGATGTCAATGGGTACAATTTGTTCGGCAGTGAGAAATTCAATAACACATTTCTCTTTCATACGCACTTCTATGTCAGACGCCATTTTGGTAGACTGCTCTGCTGTCGCTATCTGTCGCACGACAACCAAACTAACAGTAGATTGGCGGGAAGGTTCAACCTTTACTACAACACCACCAACATCCATCTCAGACGTTACATATTAACACAAAAAAAATAGGAGGCATTATTTACGGAACGCCCCTAGTACTTCTGTACCCATATCTTTGCACTCTTATTGACAAATACATCATTTTACCGCACCAAATAAAGTCAGACCAGGATGTCTTGATTATCTGGACTAATTAATTATTATTGTTAAAAATGTAACTAATATAAAACCTGTTTCATATATTCAGTCTTCGGGCTTTATATAGATAGGATAAGAGGGAGGGCTCTTTGAAGAATGACGTATGACAAAATTTCATGGATTTTGATACTACTAGCCTGCCACATTAAGTACAGCAAACAGTTAACAAGTAAGACCTGGTGTTGTTACATATATATACATACATACCATGTCTACAAGTGATATGTACATGAACATTCCAGCTGCAAACCCAAAGATATAACTGCTGGCTTCAATTTCACCTAGCATGATCCCAAACACCAAACCAATGTAACATGTGCAAGCAGATAGGAAGTTGTAGATAAGAGCCTGCTTCATTGTCATGCCAGCATTTAAAAGTACTGCAAAATCACCTGAAATACATTTTGTTACTATTATTAAGAAAGAAAACTTGAAAAGATTAGAATATATAAATTCAGGTGACAGAAACAAGAGCTGTTACACAGGTAAGAGCCCATACAAAAGAGTGAATATAAACACACACCACATGTGCATATGCTCACCTAGAGCATAACCTAACAGGTTAGCACACCAATAATGCACCTGGCTTGTATTTAGAAGGTTAGTGACTGAAATCATGGTCAAAGAATTGAGTATCCTGAGGTTTCTTGAGATTTTCCTCAGTCCCTCCATGTGAGTTTATGGACAGTTACTTCAAATAGGTCAGGGCATAATCACCATTACTCCTCTTCACATCACTAATCTCTGCAGTTGAAGCACCATCATCAATTAATCAACATGAATCTTACATAATTAATACAGAAAATTATGTGAACTGTGTCAATTTCCATCAGTAATGTTGCAGTAACTATGCATCACTGCCCCTTTCACAGTCTGCACTGCAAAATCACTGGCATATATAATACAAAGGTTATACATTCTCTCTTCAGGTGAGAATTAAAAAAAAAAAATATATATATATATATATAAGTAAATACATAAAGCAAAATAAATAAATATACAAATAATGGATTATAAATGAAATTGGCATAACAAATCCACATATTATAGCAGAAATGAAAGCAAACTTTCAGTAAGGAATGCAAGACTATATAACATATCTCACTCTGTGACCTGTCATTAAATTTGAACATTTTCTTACTAGTCCTATTTCATGACATTCCAGTAAAATTTATTTTTACATAATTTCACTTGTTATAATCCTTTTAGTGCACAGAAATTAAAATGTTAATGTAAAGCAGTAAGAGACATGTACAGAACAATTAGCAATTTAATTATATTTAAGGTGTACTACAGTATTTCATAACTTTACATTGTATATGTCAACCAGCCTCTGGTACATCCATCTGTTATACAACATATAGGTCACACAGCAACTGGTTTGTGTTCCACTAACATTTACGGAAAGTCAATCTGTACAATGAACTATGTACAATCTCAGGAGGAAAAACAAAACCCATAATGATCAAAAGCATGATTTCAGAAAATGCTTCATGTACATATGAAAACATTCTCTTTATATAGGAGAATTTATGTAATGTGGTAAATGCCTAAGGTATATTGCTTCTTACTAAGAACTGAAATTTTTCTTTTTATTACATGGGTAAAATGACAGAATTATCTGGACAATGTCTGGCTAGAAATTGGGTATGATTTTTCAGAGACTGACATTTCAGACAGAAATGCTGCTACTCTGTTATTATCATTGGGTATCTTCACCACTCATTCCCCTTGTCAAAACAATGGATAATGCCAAAACACAACATTCCTTGACTTTACTGCACCAATGTCAGAAATACTAAAAAGCACTTAAAATATAAAAGTATTTTACATATTATTGCCTCTGTGGTCTAGTGGTCAGAGTTCCTGGCTACAGATCCAGAGGTCCTGGATTCGATTCCCGGCGCTACCAGATTTTCTGAGAAGTAGCGGGTCTGGAACGGGGTCCACTCAGCCTAGTGAGGATAATTGAGGAGCTATTTCAAGGAAATAGCGGCTCTAGTTAGAAAACCAAAATCCAGCCATGGGGATTCATTGCACTGACCACATGACACCCTATCTGCTAAATTTGGCACTACCTTCGCTGACAAGCAGCGGTCGCTCAGTCAGTGTAGTTCACTTGCAGACTAAAACCACGGAGTTTTTCTTTTATATATTACAGTATCAATAATAGTCAATGTGAATTTATCTACTACCTAATGAACAGAAATTTTAATTTACAACTTTTTCATCCTTCCCTTATTGAGCACAAGGCAAGTACCTACCCTGATTTTCCTTCGTCCCAAAAATAACCTGTAGTGACAGCAAATTAACACAATCTACATTCAATATGTATGACCTCAAGTTTCAGTCTCAGAATTTCCTGATGGGAAATACATGTAGATGTGGTGGCCAGCAAAAAGACTTATAAGCTTTGTCATGTCTGCTTGTCTGTCTGTCAACATGAAACAGTTTGCCTCCCACTGGATGGATTTTTTGAGTTTACACTGGGGAAATTTAGTAAAATATGTTGATGAAATTCAATTCTGCTTAAAAATGGACAATAACAAGCACTTTACATGAAGCCAAAAATGTGTTTCTTGAGAGCATCTCACTCCATCTCCTACTCCACTGTCAAGAGCACAATGGGAGTGCCATAAGAACAAAGCCACAGCTATCCCATTCAGTGATTCACAGACAAAGTAACTGAACATGCCTCAAATATTATGTTATAAGTACACTTCCTAGGGGGCACGCGGCAGCATAGTTGGTTGAAGGGCTATGCTACAAGCCGGAAGATCGCGGGCTCAAGTCCCAATGAGGATTTTTTTCAATTGACCTAATCCTTCCAGCCACACTATGACCCTGGGGTCAACTCAGCATCTAACAGAAATGAGTTCCAGGAATTAATTAAATAATTTTCCTAGGGAGTAAAGCGCAGCTGGCGGATAAGGCTGACAACCTTACCGCCATCTTTGAGCCAATTGTCTAGATAATGTGGGACCCTCAACGTCCCACAATCCTATGGGTCTTCACAGCCTGGTACAGGGATAGCTTTACTGTTTTTTTACTTTATGTACACTTCCTTTCTTGTTATTTTTTTAAACAAATATACTAAAAAAACATGATTACCTAACTCATGAGGAAACTCCTCACACATTACAGCCACACTTATGCTGATACCAGTGAGCAAGCTCTCATTGAATGCTGCACCAATGGATAATCCATCAATAAAATTGTGAAGCCCATCACCAAACACAACCATCCAAGCAACTGTTGCAATGGCACTGTCCTTTCCTTGTTCAAAATGCATCAAATGCTCATGTCCATGTGCATGGCTGAGTCGAGGTTTCTGAAATAGGAACATCAAAAGGGGATTTGAGTCTTATGACCAGAGTTGTGTGTACTGTACTAAGATCAGAGCTATGATGCACAAAAGCACTCATGTGGCTGCTCTCCACTAGATAATACGGAAACTTTTCTCAACTAGAGGTTTCACTGGAAATGACAGTGCTATTTTAAACATTCAGATTCAAAATAATATTAAAAAGGTGACTCCTAGCTTTACTTGGTAGGATGTGAATGTCCCAAATGGCCGTGCCATAGCTCAAGTGGTTTTTCTTTGTTGTTAGTGGGGTGGGACTAAGTCCCTTGTACTGCGGCCACTTCTGGCCTATTGTACCGGCCCTAGATGATAGGTGAGGGTGATTGTGGAGCAATTGGTGGAATGAAGATTGGCAGGGGAAAGCAAAGTACCTGGGGAAAACCCACCCCAGCGCCACTTTGTCCCCACAAATCCCACTTGACCAGACCCAGGATCGAACCCTGGTGGCCACGGTGGGAAGCCAGTGACTAACCATTTGAGCTATGGCCTAGCTCAAGCATTTAGTCACTGGCTTCCCACCAGTACCGGGTCTGGTCAAATGGGATTTGTGGTGGACAAAGTGGCGCTGGGGTGGGTTTTCTCCGAGTACTTTGGTTTCCCCTGCCAATCTTCATTCCACCAAATTCTGCATCATCATGATCACCTGGGGCAGGTATAATAGGCCAATCAGTGGCCACCGTGCCGAGTGGACCCAGCTGGACTCCAGCCCCCACTAAGTGAATTTCTTAATGTCCCAAAGTGGATGATAACAGGATCTGCCTCCTTTTATCAAAAAATAGATATTAGCATATTCAGACCTTGTATGTTCTTAATTAATTTAAATAAGATAGTCTTGTAACTGTTAATTTCCAAAATGTTTAAAATTGAAATGAAAACAGTGGAAACAGCAAAACTTTGTATGAGGAACTATTTACTGGAATATGCAAAATAAGTATAGGCATTGTCAGACAGAAAGTAGAAGAACTGAAGGACTGGCAAGCTTGAAAAGCTAACACCCCTGATTGCCCTTGGCAGACAAAATGCCATTCTTCTCATATTATTAGAAATGGTAGATCAGAAAAACAAATTCTGTTTTGTGAACCAAAAGGTACAAATGTTGGCACTCCACCTGACACACTGTGCCAAGAACAACAATGTTGGTTATTTCCAGATTCACGTACTATTATTCACATCAACCAATCACTGTCTACAATCTTATTAATTTATATACTAAATTCATAATTAATGCTTACTTCATGGTGTACTAATCCAGCAACTTAAAAAAAGGTACATTTTCTAAGACCAGAATAGTGTGTCACAAAATTAATGAAAGAATGTGTAATCATGGGGTTAGGATATAATATGTAATTCAGACAGTAATTTACACAAACAGATATATAATATTCAGATATACTTAGTGAACAGACAAACAGTACATACAGCAGTACACCATCCAGCAGACAATGTTCATACAGATAGTGTTAAAGCATTCAGACACAAGCACAAGGAACACGAAGTGATACAACATTCATACAGCCATGATTCAGATGTGTAACAGCTAGACACTAGGATTTATGAAATCCTAAGAGACATTCAAACATATCTTTAAAGATTAAAGATTCAAACATGCAGATGATATTCATGAACCCATAGTTCTGCAGTTACACATTATCATGTCCTTGTGTAGTTACTTTCAAGTCAAAAGTCTTCTTCAGTAAGTGTCTGATAATTATGCATTACCAGTGGTTCAGTCACGATTAAATGAAATACAGCATTTTGAGTACAGTTTAGATATTCCTAAAGTGATACAAATCTACTAGTGTAATGATTCTGTGATGTAAAGGATGTCAGATTAATGAGTGCTGTGAGAAGCGATGTATTTATTATTATTATTATTATTATTATTGTTGTTGTTGTTGTTGTTGTTGTTGTTGTTGTTGTTGTTGTTGTTGTTGTTATTATTATTATTATTATTATTATTATTATTATTATTATTATTATTATTATTATTATTATTAGAGGGAGTGGGTTTCCCCATGCACCGTGACTAATAGTCTATTGTACGTACCCCTTTGATATTCTACCATTCTACCAGTCGCCATACCCTACTGGTACGGGTGCGAACTATCAGCCCAGCTCAGCCAACGAGGTCAGCCCTCGGTACCTGATACTTCCCCAATCTACCAGAGGCATTGGAAACTACTTGGGTGGGAAACTTTTTGCCTAATTTTGCTCAGAGGTCTCCTAGAGACATGAGGATCTTTTACGTGTCGTAAATCTATGGAGAAGTGGTGTAACATACAACAGTGATTTTTAAATATCTAAATGAGTAAAGTGAATTGAGTCAGTGTGGGGTTTCACATCTTCAATAATAAAACAGCATGTCTGCAATCACTTTTCATTGCTTTTTATGACTAATTTAATGCATTAAGAACACCAGACTAAGTCAACCATCGCCTAACAACCACATTTCCTACTCTTATTTTTCTGCATTCATCTAAGCCCATTAATTGCATGAGATGTCTTGGGTTCTCAACTGACATGGCTAGTATACCAACACCCATCCCAAGATTCCCCTCAGGCAGAGACCCAACAATAAGACAGCAACCCAGATGATGGCTCAGCTTGAGGGATGGATACAACAGAATCACAGAGCCCAGAACAAAAAATGTACCAAAATTGTATGTCACACATACCACTGCACTGCTTTAAAACTGTCAGGAAAGCTGATAACACTTCAGTGTATTAGAAACATTGCCACAAGCTCTAAATTCACTGTGTTGTAACATTCTCAAACTAGTTAATTTAAACAATCTTTATATTAAATTTCATTACAGGAGGAGAAACACAACTTCAATATGTTCCAATGGACTGGGCATGGCAAAGGGTTAAGATCAGAACTGGGCAGAGACAGAGAAAACACATTTAGATGCTCAGAAGAATACGATTTTAAAGTGGTACATAATCATATATTCCAAGAAATCTTACCTCCTGGTGGCCAAAAGAAGCCTTTATAGCTTGCTCCTGGTAGTCATATATAATTCCAGGATTTGTTTGAAGGCAGTTGGCTTCCTGACGCACATGCTGTTCTGAGCACTCATGTACTTGAAGGGGCTCCAGTTCATGATGAATATGGGGAACGAGCTCCGTGGGACTTGAGATGCTTGACACAACTTCCACAGACAATTCATTGGTTGGATATTGGCATGCTGAAGGACGTCCATTTTTCTAGAGAAACAATTGAAATTTCTAAAACAGAACAATTCATCATCTACCACTTTTTTTTTTCGGAAGAATCCAAAATATAAATTACAATAAAGGAAGATTCACTTATGTATGTAGGTAAGTCACTAAATAAGTTACAAATCGATATAGAACTTAAACAAATAAGAGTACAGATTTGAAAAATGCTTTTATTTCTCAACATAATCTCCCTGTACTGTTCCATCATTTCACAAGTACCCTGAAAACCGACAGCATAAAATTCTTTGGGCTGCTGTTGGAACCAGGTGGTGACCGGGATCACAAAGGCATACTGTTCACTGCATTCCAGTCTCAAGGACAAACTTTAAATGCTGACCCCTACTGTAACATCCTCAGGAAACTTCATAAGGCCATTCAACGGAAGCGACCAGGACTCCTCACCAAAGGCGTGTTGCTCTTGCATGACAACGCGCGTCCCCATACTGCCAACAAGACAAATGAGACGCTGGGAAATTTCAAATGGGAAATCCTCGAGCATCCTCCATATAGCCCTGACCTTGCTCCAAGCAACTTCCATTTGTTTGGCCCTCTTAAACATCAACTTTCGGCTGAACATTTCCCCGACAATGAAGCTGCAGAAAGGGAAGTCTCCACCTGGTTCCGACAGCAGCCCGAAGAATTTTATGCTGCTTGTTTTCAGGGGCTTTTGAAACAATGGGACAAGTGCCTCAGTGTACAGGGAGATTATGTTGAGAAATATAAGCATTTTTCAAATCAGTACTCTTATTTGTTTAAGTTCTATTCATTTGTAACTTACTTGTTGACTTAACCTTGTATACTCCAGCTGAACACATTTTTCTTCAACACTGTAGTTTCTACAGTTCATTCATTTATTTTATTTAATGTCAAAATTTTAGTTAAATTTCATATATAAATTTATCTGTAGAGTGTGTACACACATGCAAGTTTTTTTTTTTGTGTGGCACTCCACACATTTGATTTAAAGGAAAGCTAACATTTTAGATCAATACCAGTTACAAACTGTTAGTATTCATATATGTAAAATACCGAATTAAAGATTGGTAAAATTATTCTGTATCATTATATTTCTCTTCTTGTTCACACTTAGTACCAGCAACACATTTTTTTTTCCTTGGCACTACAGCCCCAGTGGGCCTAGGCCTACCTCCATGAACTTCTCCGTTCACTTCGGTTTTTCTAAATCTTACACATACGGTAGGACTCCTTGGGCATGTGATCAGGTCATTGCAAGGCCTCTACCTGTATACAAACACAGAAAAACGCACACAAACATCCATGCCGAGTGGGATTCGAACCCACGATCCCGCCTTTTGAGCGAGCAAAGACAGTGCACGCCACCAGCAACACATATATCCATGAAATTTAAGCCTAATAATATTTAGTGAAGAGTACACACCATGGAGCTCTTCATTATGCAATTTTCTCTGTCCTCTTACATTCTGACCCTCTTATAAACATGTCTTCTCAGCAACCGATTCTTAAACACTTTCAATCTACATTCTCTTAAGGTGAGAAAGAAAGTTTCACACCCATACATAACAACAAATAAACTTCTGGTTTTATGAATTTCAGCACTAAATTTATCACAACATATTCTTCAGTATAAAATAAGTAAGTAAAGTTGTCCCTGTGCTTAACTAATTACGCACTATCCCAAATCCCTGTGCATAATTAATTAAGCCCTGTGCCATGAAGACATATGGTGGAGTGGACGTACAGCTCCACAATTCTTGACCTAAGTACTAGATGTGGGTGAGTGGTTAGTTTCACACTCTGGCCGCTTTTTACCCTAGGAATAAGCCTCCAGTACAGGTTCAATAGGGACCCAGAGTCAGTCTAGATGCTATAGTGTAGAGAAAAATCTATTGCCCCTGCCATAAATTTAACCCCAGCCATGCAGCTCATAGCCTGTCACTATACTGACCAAGCTACAAATAAGCTTAGTTAATTCAATGTTATTAATGGACATACTGTCGCATGAGAGGCGTGGGGGGGGGGGTTTGTATGCCTCTTGTTTGAAAGGAAGATCAAGAACCTGCTTCTCAAGACATTCGAGATCCATCAGCCAACAATGATGGCTAAAGTCACAGAGTCATCTGGAATCTTCCTGGCGTGCTATTGCATCCAAAACAGATCCATTTAGGAAACTGGTTTATTGAAAAAGAGTATACATTTTTCATAAAGAAAATTACTGACACTTCATAACCTCTGTTGTTAATAAAGCACACACAATGTTTACCACATCACACACAACTAATAAGGGACAAAATTATTTTATATGAATTCATCTCCCTAAGAAAACAGAAAGCAAAACAAGAGCACACAGTTTTATCTTAATGAATGACCACGCATGTCCCTACTAAATTATTTCTGGAAGCCATTCTACCAATCCTTAATGTGCAATAAGTTATTGTTTCCTTCCATTTTATTTACATATATACATTTATGATTTACTGAACAAGAGTCAGTACCTCAGACTATACAGTACCAAATGTTAGGTTTATTAATGAATGATGAATTTGAAAGGGTATGGAAGTCAAGTGGTCTTGGCTTACTCCAATGTACTATATTGGCATGTGTCCAGAATAACAGATAAATCACAAATAACCTCGGTTAGGACAGTCAGTGTCCTCGCTCAGATCTCAACTCAGCAACTTCTTAGTATAAATCAGAAGTGTAATGCCTCGGTGAAGATGCTTGGTTATTTTCTTTTAAGAAAAGAAATTCTGCAACAGAGGAGTTCGTTTTTTTTTTCCAAATCAAACTCAACTTGAAAAAAACACTTTCAGTATTAACTGAGAAGTGACTCTTGCATGAAGTAGTATTCATAAATACAAGTACAGTAAAACCTGCCTTAAACGGACCCTTTATTAAATGGAAATTTGTCTTAAACGGAAATATTTTTAGGTCCCTTGACTTTGGGGCTGAAAAAGATGTTAAATAACCTGGATTAAACAGAAACTGTCTAACGCGGAGAACGGAAATCAAAATAAGCCTTTATACGGAAAATTTCCAGTCTTCTGGAATGCATTGTTTAGAATAATTTTAGGCATCCTATACATTCTACAGAATTTTGTTTTCCATAACTCTTTAAAATAACCTTCTAACGGTATTGCACTACCTGCACTGAGATTCAGCAGAATTGTTTTCCCCTTCTGGAAATTGTATTCAATAAGGGCTCTAGGCCTACAGTTTTACTTTAGTCTAGCAGTTGTCATCATGGCTACAAAGACAAGAGTTGTGCTTGATCTTCATACAACATTAAAAGTGATTTATGCGAGTGAGCATGATAATTGTCTGTTAAGCAGATCATGAAGATGTTTAATGTCGGTAAAACTCAAGTGTATGAGATTCTAAAGAAGAAAACAAATTCTGAAGCGGTGGGGAACTCGTGCTAATGGAAAAATAAAAAGAGAACTTAAGAAAACTGCAAACGAAGACGTCAATGAAATAGTGTGGGAGTGGTTTGTCAGTGTGAGGGCGAAAAATCAGAGGTTGTCGGGTCCTATGGTACAGGAATATGCTAAAAGTCACTGAAAAACTGGGGAAGACTGAATTCAAAGCATCTAACAGTTGGTTGGAGAGTTTTCGCAAAATACATTGGATAGTTTTTAATGAACTTTGTGGTGAATCAAGTGATGTAAATAGTGAGGCCATTGAGGAATGGGAAGCTAAATTGTCATCCATAATCGAGGGATATGAACCTGAAAACAAAGCGAACGGTGATGAGACTGGACTGTTCTTCCTTGCGCTTCTGAATAAATCACTATGTCTGAAAGGTGAAAAATGTTTGGGAGGAAAACTGTGCAAAGAAAGACTGACTGTTTTTCTATGTGGTTTTATGTCAGGTGAAATGTAGAAAACCTTAGTGATTGGCAAGGCAGCAAAGCCACAATGCTTCCGAAACATGGACATACAGAAACTTCCCGTTGAGTGGAGATCCAACAAAAAGGCATGGATGACATCACAGATCATGGAGGAATGGTTAACGGCCTTCAATGGTAGAATGAAGATGCA